GATTCTTCGGATTTCAAATCCAATGAATCCTTTTTCAAAAAGGATTCACCAGATCAAAAATCCGGATTTGGATTTGCCGAAAGGAACGCGAAATCCGTTCTTAGATCTAAAATCCGTTTTTGGATTCACCTAAAGGAACACACCCTAAGACGGTCATCGTGGCTAATACTGTGCCGGTCAAATTTTCGACCGTACCGGCTAAAAAGTTTGCCCTTGATATTGGTGTTCAAAATTTTTGAACGGCTTGGCGTCTAAATTTTCGTACGGTAAGGTTGGTTCCGTCTGAACGCAACACCGGTCAAAAATTCGTCTGGTGACGCGGGAACGTGGCGCGAGTTATCATTTTTCTTACTCTTTCCTGTAACTACACTTCTTGAAATTAAACTCACTTCTTCTCTTTGCTTTAGACTCTGAACTCACCCTGGCACTCTGTAGATTCCAACTTCGGCAAGTCCGCGACGTTCAACTTGTTCAACGCATCTGACCTAAGCAGAAAACACATAAAAAGATTGGCTAAAAGTTACATTTTTTTTCTCTGCTTTGAAAGCAGTAAGGAAAGTCATTTCACTTATTTTTATGGAGGCACATTGAAACAGTTGAGATGTGCTCTTAAGTGTCTGTTCACTAAACTTCATTCTTCTACGTCCTCTACTTCTAAATTAACATAGGCTGCTATATTTCCGCGTTGGTCTAATGGTGGGGTGAATTTAATAAAACTTTTAAAAGCGTAATTTACAAGTGTAGCTATTGTTTTCAGACTCTAAAATAGTGGCTACACTTATAAAAGTTTTATCAAATTCACCCCAGATGTGCAGGTTTATGAGAATTTTATCACACAAAAGAGAGAGCAAAGCTGCACGAGTGTCTTCAACGGTCAATATTTATGCGACTTAAATGGTTGTCTGAGTAAACAGCCGACACTCGCGACACTACCAGCAGTTTTCCTGCGAAATGACGTCTGAGAAACGAGCGCTGAAATTCCATACTGATGACGCGTCACTACCCAGATCTGGGTAGTGCTTCTGATTGGTCGTACCGCGAAGGAAAATTGTTTCAACCAATCAAAAGCACTACCCAGATCAGGGCAGTGACGCGTAATCAGTATGGAATTTCTGCGCTCGTTTCTCAGACGTCATTTCGCGGAGAAACCAGTGGTGGCGTCGCAAAATGTCGGCTGAAAATAGGGTTTGGGAATGACTTCAGTTTTGAAACGTTTTAATAGAGAGCTGTAGATTTGAGGGCGAGAACGTTCAACTTAAAGTTGGTGTGCCTGTCCTAAAAAAACAGACACCCCGGAAAGCTTTATTTTACTTTTTTTTTTTACAAAAAATGTTAGTACGGTTACCGTTATTTATACTGAAGGAGGTTAAGCCCTCTCTCGATAGCAGAATGATAATACTTCTAACATTTGATAACTTGTTCGTGCAACTGCGACATTCTCGCTAAATTCCGTTGTAGAATGACGACGGCTATCACGTTTTCCCGCCAAAATGACGCTGGTTCTCGCGCGAGCAATACTTAATACTGAGAAAATCTCGTACTCGAAGTCGTCCTCGAATCTAAAGCTCTCTAATGATAAAATACGTACAACAATCTCTGGCACCATAGGACTCGTAGTGGGAGCAAAGAACTCGATGTTTTCATCCTAACAAAACAAAGACACAGTCGTCAGAACAACAAAACCGACATGGACATGTGACTGAATGTAAGGTGTGTATAAAGATGTCTCGCGCTTACTGGGCGACGTCTGCCAGATCCTGGAGTGTCATTAGAGGGCACACAAGGAAGCGGAAGCTGATCTTTACAGTCAGGGTGGCACACAGCACGACAATCTGCAAAGAAAAGTACGAAGCTTTAAGGCCATTAACAACAGCGTCCTTTAAATTCGAGGAAGGGGACGAGATTTGACTTAAGTTTTTTTTCGCGTATTCTGAAAACCATACACCCCGAAAAGCTTGGCATTACAGTAAAAACCCACGAGTAAGAACCTAACATTTAAGAACCTGTTAGGCTAAAATTTGCAATTTAGACCCCCTCTTTATAAGAACCTCTTTAGCCTAAAATTTGGAGAAAGGTTCTTATTTTCAAAAATCATTGAGAAAATGTTTATAACATTGTGTTTTCAAGCATAATCATGTATATACAAGAAATTAAAATTCATGTGAGAATAGATCTCTATTATGGTCCTATTAAAATATAAGCACATTAGGTATGCAAATTTAAGGGTGCTGATCACTAAAATCTTCTTAGCAACGACATAATTTTTTGCAAGAAATTAAGAACCTAGATAGCCTAAATTTATGTTAACCAACATTTATGTAAGAACCTGTTTAAATAGGCTAACCCTGGGAAATGTAGGTTCTTACTCGTGGGTTTTTACTGTATTCTTTTTTCACCAGAAAAGTTAAGAACACGGTTTTGTTTTTTTAAGGAGGTTAAGCCCTCTGCCAATCGCAAAATGATAAAACTTCTAGCATTTACTACGCCAATTCAACAATAAATTGACTGCTGTAATTACCTTTGCACTTCAAGGCTAGTTTTCCAAACTTTATCCTCTTGTTACACTGTAGAGACAATACAGTAAACAAATTAAACGCAGGGAGGCAAGTTAAACTTCAAAAATCAAGCAAAAAACTCTTATGAGAAGTTTAAAATGGGGAAGCGGGGGTGTTCAAATCTTACTTACCGGCTGGCAGCTCTCGGGCTTGATTACAGTTTTGGAGACGAATGCATGTTTCTAAAAAAAGATAATGATAAACAACGTTTATACTTCAATTTTGTACGGTATTTGTATGATGATAACAGTACATCTTATGATGAGTGGTGTATGATGACGGCATAACAGAAGCTATAGGGGGAGGAACAACAAAGTTTAATGACTGTGAAAGGTTTGAACCCAGGAGTCATTTCAAAAGTAGGTTGAGTTTGATCGTCCGGGTGAACGTAGTCCTGAATAGGACTTTTGTTGTTGACAGTGACTGACGTTTCGACAACCTGTGCAGTAGTCATCTCCAGAGTCAAAGTGAGTTGTACAACCTCAGTTGATGGTATTATACTCTGGTTATTGATCTGATTGGTCAATTACGTAATTACAGTTCCAAGCGCCAGATTCGTCACGAATCCGCAAAAAATATTTTCTAGTGTAAACCGACCCTGACTTCATAGAACCAATGAGACCCATCGCAATCGATCAATCATTTATTCATTGCGTGTTTGTTCGGGATGCCCGTGTCGCTATCAGCTTGCAGTTACCAATGGCATACCAATCCTACCAATGGCGCTAATCGCGAAGCTTCTTTGACAAGTCGTTATCCTTTATTAACGGTACGATAAGTGTTGGCGTTTTGACAATTCGTATGTTTATGTATACTGTCAACTCTCTCCAAGACGGACACCTTTGGGATCGGCACTAAGTGTCCATCTTTGAGAGATGTCCGTCTTATAGAGAGTCAAGGGACTAAAGAAAGGCAGGGACCAACTCTAGGTGTCCGTTTTACAGAGGTGTCCGTTAAGAGAGTGTCAACTGTATTGGACACGTGTGGATCAGTTTCAGTAAAAGGGGACAAATTCATCAGTCTCCGTGTGGGTTTGAGGGCTCAAAATAACAACCGGTCAAAGGACAATGTCCGGTCAAGATTACCATTGGTCCGGACAAGGTATCGGTTTGCCCGTCATTTTGACCGGATACGTAAATAACCGACCAGAAAAAAAAAAAATCACACTACTATTACGTTTCGAGAGAACAAGTATCTTTTTTTCACTTCATGTTTTTGCTTGCTTGTTAAGCTAGTAGTGACCGAGCTAAAATTTTCTTGGCCGGTAATCACGTTACGCAACAGTCCCAAATTTATTTTGAGCTCTGGGTTTACATTATTTTGAAATGGAATGTGAAACGATAATTTTCAAATTTTTATGAAGGTACTTACTTTGTCTTTTTTAGCTGGTCCTATGCTGCCAGTTTGTGAAATAATTCTGAAAAAATATAACAGTTTATTTATTAATCATCAGCCCAACAGTACCACTCTAATAACTTTATGTGCAGGCATAGCCAACTGCCAACTTGAGTGTCACAAGTAAATCTGGGAATCAGTTTCACTGGGTTGTTGTGAAGAATTCGCCGTGAAAACGAGCCGTAATAGAGAGGGTTAGCATCGTTTACGCCAAGCCGCAAACGCGAATCTGTACCACAAGACCAAGTTTCCTCTTTACTTGTCATTTTTTACTGTTTATTATTTCTACACATAAATTAGTAATTTCACGCAATTTTTTATCCATAAGAATTGTAGCCTATGTGTAGCCACACCCTCCCCGCGACAAAAGAAAAACGGAGAGAGGGAGCTCCCTCTATCCATTTTTCCTTTGTCGGGGGGAGGGTGCGGCTACACGTAGGCTCTCATTTTCTATTTTGAGAAATTCTCAACGTGAATCTGACTTTTCCGTTTGCCGTGAACGTGATACTTAAACTCTCTAATAAGAGAAAAGGGTCCGGGGGGGGAGGGGGACAGGGGAAGTTTCTCCAGCGGCTTCACCACAAATGCTTTCTTCATTGAGCTTTAATAAAACTGCCAGATGCAAACTGGCTGGTGAAAATTGTGGTGGGAAAGCGCAAGGGTGAGCTTCAGAGCCATGAAAAACGGCATAGATGCGGTTCATTTCTATTGAATCAGTACCGTATTTATTCGATTAAACACCGCGGCGCTTATTTAATTTTCAACGTTTCTGATGCGGTATTTATTCGAGGGCGCCTTGTATTTCAAAATCACATTTCTTAAATCACTGACAACACTGACGGTAAATCATTTGAATTTTATAAAACAGAAAGGTGTAGATTACCAAGTTGGATCGAGTATTTTTTTTTTCATATAATCTTCGAATAAACGCTGCATCCTTCTGATTGGACCTCGTGTTTATTGGTTATTTTGCTTCCATTTAATCAAGTAAATATGGTATTTTCAGAAAGGACTCTGGTAAGCAGAGCTGAGTAAGTAGGACAGAGATCAGATGTATCATAATTACTAGGATACAAAAAGTGACAAGTTACCTCTGCATTTGTGGAGTTTCCTTCTTTGGGCTGGTGTACCTCTCAAGTTCTCTTATGGCATGCCTGTATGGGTCTCGGTAATTTATATCAACTGTAAAGATAACATGATTTGTTATGATGAGGAGGTGGGACGGCAAACAACGAAACACACTGGCAGCCTCTCTTATTACCACAGACATTTGACAAGCTCCTCAAATTTCGAAATCAATCCGGCAATCTCTTTAGCCTGTGCACTGACCTCGCCTTTTCAAAGGAAATAGTAGACACCTGCACGCAGGCTAGCAATTTTGAGCTTACTTCAGGGCTCAAAATAACAGACAGCAGGTCGCCAGTGATGATGACGTGCCAAATACTTTTTAGCCCGGACAAACAATGTTATAGAGCAAAACGCATTAAGCGACAACTATATGGAAAATATTATGAAATGTTGAAGTTCGCATCCAAAAATGACCGGTCAAAATGACAAGCAAGACGAGAGTTTGACCGGTGAAGGTCGGACATTGTCCATTGACCGGCCGTTATTTTGAGCCCTGTACTTAAATATAAATCCTGACAAGTGTGTAGAAAGATAGGAACTATTTTAACAGTCTTAGCACTTGGTGCAGTTTTGAGTTAACGGCATTAGAACTGTAAGTATCAGGGCTTGAAATTCTTGCAGATTTTTTTTTTTAAATTTAAACGGCAGTTGCGTGGAGAATAAAATTTCAATTCAAGGATTAAAAAGGTTACCTGGAGCGGATGGTTGCACATAGGTCTGTTGAATTGGATAAGCTGGAACATGGACTGGACTGCTTGGAATAAGTGGTTGTACAATCACTGGAGCATCATGCTGTATTTCACAAATTGAAAAATCAAAAATTAATAAAGAATATATCTATTGAGTAATTTAAAACTTATTAAGTCATGTAAGTCATACACAAAATCATCCCTCAACTGGACCTATCTATGTCATAAATACAAACTAACAAAAAGGATCAATGGTAAATAAGCAAAACAATCACCAAAGGCAATGAGAAACATGCACCAGTCAAAAGTGTCCATAACAGGATTTTCTATCCTGGGGTCCACAGGACCTGCTAAAGGGGGTCATGAGGGAGAAAAGCAGGTCACAATTTTTGCATACATTTACCACTAATTCAACTAAGTGGGTGTTTTCTAATAAAATTTTGGCTTATATCATAAGGAAATGTACCTACGTGTATGTTCAGTTGTGTGCATTTTGTAATAGGTTTTTTCTTCTTTGCGCACTTGGGCTAATTTTAGTGCAGTACTTCCTGGAAAAGTGTGGCAATGCTGCAGTCTGGTAAGAACACTGGGGTACGTGAAATTTTAAACATAAAATAACCATAAAATGTACAGAAGTTTGTACTTTGCAAATTGCAACAATTTTTTCTTTTGATATCATTTTCTTGGAATAAAGAACTACCTCATCCTTTCTTGGCCTTTTAGGAGGAGTAACCTGAGAGAAATAAAGTGAAAAATAAATGAATATAATAAGTAAGAATGACAACCAAAAAAAAACTTGGATCCAACTAATGGAAGTTAGGATTTGCTCATGATGGAGTACCCACTTTTTTGGCTGCACAGGCACTCGCTGATTTGAGGAAATATTGTATAAACTGCATATTTCAAGATAGCCCACCCAACAGGGCCGAGTTGTTCAAAGCTGGGTTACCATAACCCAGGGTTAGTGCAAGATTTGAATTCAAATATGAAAGCTTAAAAATCATTTCAGTTTTAATCCTTTTTGTCTACAAGTTGATTATTGAAAGCTTTAAAAATAACAGAGAAAATTATCCAAGAAAATGCTTTGGAACACAAGAAAAAGAAACTGGCGTTAAATTTAATCCTGGGTTAAGTGCTAATCGGCCATTGAACAACTGGGCCCAGAAGGTTAAGTTCATCTGTGAAACAGTTTCAAAATCCTTGTATTCTAGGCCCCCACCTGTGTACTAGGATTTGAGTACGCGCCATGATTGGCCTGTTAAAAAAGCCATTGTTGATTTGGCAATCAGTTTGACAGGAAATTTCTAAATGCATTTCTGGTAATTCGTTGAGACTGTTGGGGCTTCAGAACAGCCATAGCAGGGCTGCTTGCAAACATACAAACTGGGGTTAGATTACATCTGCGAAGCTGGATGAATTTTTGTTGAATGTCATAATTACATAATTACTGGGAACGAACACAGTACTTTTAAAATGTTAGATTACTGCCTATCAAAATAACGTCAATTATAACTTCACTGGGTTTAACTTACATCAAGCTCTGGAGCTGTAGGAGGAGGCTGCAAATTTAGGGAATAAAATTATACAATATTTTGTTAGTGTTACTACAGTATATGTAAGTAGTTAACCATGTAATTTCCTCACGTTAACAATAAAAATTGCATTCAACTCTATAACTAACTATGATTACAGCCTAAATAAACTGTGTTTTCATCAACATATGGTATCTGTTAACTACATACCCCTAATTCACTGCCATGTCAAACAGCAGATATTATTTTTCAACAGCTGAATCAGGGCCCCATGTCTCCTGGTATTTTTATAACACACACAATGTAATAAATAAAACAAAATAATTATTTTTTATTTACTAAAAGGCTGAATTCAAATTTTTCGGTACCTTTCTGTGAATTGAAACTCTCTTGGGTTGAGAGACATCCTAGTAAAATAAAAGCATGTAAATGTTTTTAGTTTGGTGTTCATACATTGGGCCTATCACATGTAACTAATAAAAGGCAATTTAAGTGTTACGTAACAAAAATATATGGGTTCAATGCAAGGTAAAATGAAATTCAAAACATTGGAAAATCAAAGGTATTTTCCAGTTCTCAATCTGATGCTCAGCTATTGGTTAAAATCGGTTTTTAGATCTGCGTGTGCAATCGTCACTATCATTATGTTGTCTTTACTAAATCTGCCTATTTTGGACACCCTTAAGACCATGAGTTCATATCTTTAACAGCAAAGGTCCATAATAGAGGGGATTTATTTATATCAAGCAATTCTTTTTTATTATTATTATTATTTATTTTTTGTAGGGGATTAATGTCTAGTTTATTATTGGGGTGTCCATTATAGCAAAGTATCTGCAAGACAAGAACTGAATGTATACTTCTATTAGCAAACCCTACCAAGTCATCCTCTGTGTTGTCGTAACTGATATCTGATGGAGATAAGATAGATCCAGTGGATTCATCCTGAACACTTAAGCGCCTGAAAATGACAATATGACAAATATTCATCACATTTTCATTACAGTAATGACCTTAAGCCCTTTATATACAAAGCCAGGTTCTGATACAAACCACTAATTTTCAGCAACCCTTTGAAATGGTTTTCTGGTAATTAGTGGTCCTTATAAATTTATACAGTAATACTGCCCTTATTTGGCCAATAAATTGACCCAAGACGGGGCTGTCATTAAGTTTTGAAGGGGCCTCAGTAAATGAATGTTCACCTTCAACATTTCACAAAAATTTATAGTTTCACCTTAAGCTTTCCTCATTGATCACCAGCAACATGAAGTGATCTCAGCCATAACGAGTGCTACAGGTTACGATCCTTAATAAATAATTACAGCTCTGCAAGAGGTGTTTAACTTATTGCAGGTTCATACTGTATCACTCTGTGAAAATCTATGAACCATGACTGCATTCATGAAAGGATTGTAGCAATGATAATATGTTGAGGCAACCAATTAGTGGCAGAAGCAGGGGAACAAATCTGTCCGTGATACAGCGCCAAAAGTCTCTAAACAAACTACTTGGGAAACTTGTTTTACTCATCAACAAACGTGGGGGAGGCAACGTTACACAGCCCAGTCAAAACACTTAATATATGCAAGTCACTCACTTTTTGCACCCTGTTATGCTGCTTACCTTAGAAAACATTTTGACTGAGCTGTTGCATTTCATAAGTATTTTTATTATATAAACACCAATGAAATACCAGGTGTGCTTTCGCGCGAAAACTTGATATCTTCACATGTGAATATAACATGTTATCTTCACATGTGAGAATATCACCGTTGCTATGACTAAAAAATAAATCGCACCCTTCGCACCAAAAAACTATTAAAGTGAAATTGTTTGGTAGTTCATTGGTGTTTATATAATGAATAGAACATTACATGGCCGCTTGGAGATACGAAATCCCTCTTCTCGTATTGAAAAAATATTTCACTCATTTGCTGCACTCACTCGTGAAATATTTTTCAACACTCACAGAGAAATTTCGTATCTCTGTGCGGCCATGTAATATCCTCTATGACTTAAGGCTTTCATACCTTTTCCTTGGACTGGTCATATCATCATGGTGACACTGGCTCAGTTGCATTAACGTCTGTCTTTCATTGTCATTTAACCTGCTCATGGTGTCCTTGTCACTTAACAGTTCGCGGATCAATGCTACTTGTCTCTCCTGTAACAGGACATGAAACAACAATAGTTTAATAGTCATTAACTAAAACAACAGTCACTTTCTGCAAGATAGTTGTTTCCATCTTAGAGAGGCAGGGACTAACTCCATGTTTGATGTGGTGTGCATCTCACAGCACGACTATTATAATGAACCTTGAATTTGCTTGTGAGCTTAAAAAGGCCCTTTTCCAGCACAAAAATCTGCTTGTCCAGATGAATGGATGGGACTAGGCAAGGGGTCAGAATAAAACTGGCCAATTTCTGGCAAAATCTTAACTGTGGTTGGATATGATGTCCACCCAAAGTTAATACCAGTCTATCATTTTGCAGATAAATAAAATATATCTTGAGCAAATGTAAATTGAAGTACAAAAACAAAATAATATTGTTGCTGTGATGCAGGGTGCAAAGAAAGTCAGTTTTACAGCTTGCCTGCCATTCAGGCAAGCTCAAAAGTCATTTTAACTAAACCAAAAAAAGATTTTGATAACAGTTGTTTTGTAATTTGAATTCCCAAAAATACTTCACTTGCCACTTGGGCACTGAAGTTAAGAAGAGAATTCACTAACCCAATAGCAAAATCCACTAGCCCTGGGCTATTGGACACAACTTCCTTTGCACACTGTGTGAAGGTAAGGCAGTAATCAGTCAACCTACACTTCCTGTACCTGTCATACATGATGTAATTTTTCTGTCTTTAGGAAACGAAATGCATTGATAATTGTTAGACTTCAAGCACATTTTTATTTTGTCCGACCAAAATGGTGACTTAGCCAGATATATGTCCTTTCAGAAAAGAATAAAGTAACTATCTGCAGCTCTGGCACCCGTTGTTCAAACATCAGATAGCACTATCCATGGGATAATCACTATCAAGCAGATAAGTATTACCAATATGCATTCATCCTCAGAGACCCAGGGGCAGATAAAGGGGGCAAGGGAAAGTCTAAATGGCTGGAAAAATATATATGGCACGAAGAAAAGTAAAGAACGGCGAGAAGAGCCCCTAAGGACAATGTCTTACCAGACCAGTTCCAAACGGTTGCCGCCGTTCTGGCTTCTCATTGGTGCCAGAAAACTTTGGTTTTTATGGCACCAATCAGAAGCAAGAACGGCGGTGACCGTTTGGAACTGGTCTGGTAAGACATTTTGTCCCCAGGGGCTCTTCTCGCCGTTCTTTACTTTTCTTCGTGCCATATATATTTTTCCACCCATTTAGACTTTCACTCATCCCCACTATCTGCCCCTGGCTCTCCGAGGATGATATGCATTTTGACTGGATATAGATTCCATCCAATGGATAAAGTTATCCACCTTATCAACCATTGGGGCCTGTAGATTTTATGATATTAATTTTTGCAAATCCCTACCAAATGGTCTTGAGTTGCTTCAGCTTTCATCCTCTTCTTGATTTCTATTTCAACTTGGCTCCTGGAAAGCAAAGATAAACTTATAATGTAAAACGAACCCTGAAAAAACAATAAACGGTATTGCATCTTCTGATATCAATCTCTGTCATGCTGTATGACCACTACAGCATTATAAATGTTTGACTGGTTTTCTGGTTTCTGAAGTGAGAATTTTTTCTAACCGTAAGCTCAAACATGCGTTTTTCTTTCAACTTCTTATTTAAAAGTTTTGTTATTTTGTCATAACATTTATCTACAAACCTTGCGTGCTTCAACTTAACTTCAAGTGCTTCATTTTCAGCCTGAAAAATATTGCTAAATTGTTAAAACTTGAGCTCACGTCCCGGAACAGAAAGTTAAGTGAAAGAGACCACCAAAGGATAATTTTGTTTATTACTAATTACAAAACGTCCAACATGTTACCTGGAGTTTTGCGATCTCTTGCTTTAGTCGGATAGCTTCATTCTCGGCAGAAAGCCACTTCTTCCGACATTCTTCTTGTTGTGTGACGAACTTAATGAATTCTAGGATAGAGTAAAATTGATTTAAATGTTCTTATAAGCTTAAGTCAAGTCAAGAACTGAACTCAAGAACTGAAAGCTTAGCACGTTGCTTGCTTTTACATGTAACGTATTCCTGAATAATGCTTATTAGATTTCAGAACTATGAGGTGATTAACGGAAGAAAAAAGTCGAAGTAACGTTCATAATTTCGAAAAGCATTTAACTGCTGACAAATCAAGCAACACTATAGACAATATGATCCAGCAATGATCGAACAACGAGCGAAGAATCGGATCACAAACCTCCTTCAATTCCTTCGGCGAGGACTGAAGTGGAGCGAACGATGTCATCAAAAGCTCCAACAAGCGAGGAGACAGACATAACGGATTCCTTCATATGCTTGCACGCCTTAAAATAACACTGTAAAAACCAATTTTGAACGAAGAAGAAACCGCCTCCACAAGACTGTCATGCAACCATGTTGTTCGTTTTTTCCCTCTTTTTCTTTCAAACACACGACAGCAACCAATCAAATCACGCGGTTTATTCTACTCACGTGATTTGACTGGCCAAATCCGCAGGACTGCATTCGCGGGCTCAACATGATGTCATATTTCGTGTCATTCGTGACGTTCTTGAAATATTTCCTTTTAGTTCCACGACCAGTTTTCTTTCAATGCTCAATAAAAAAAGAAAAAACACGGCGGATTGACTCGAGCGGGCCTCTCTCCAGTTTGCCTCTCGGCTCGATCTTTCCTTGTAACGTTCCCGCCATCTAAAGGCCTAAAAAAGGCAATTCTTGCTCAGTACTTAGGATCACTTGATTCTGGAATGTAGAAAACCACAAAAGTACAACCAAATACATGTATGTTTCTGAGAAAACACGAAGGTCACAAAGAGAATATTTGGGATTTTTTCGTTCTATTGGTCAAAACTAAGCCAACATTATACCCTATTACGAAAAACATAGTTTATTTATCCATTTCTTTTCCACTTAAATCGGTTACATGTCTCCTTTAGTTCTAAAGAGATATTTAAATTACCCTTCGATAAAAGTGTTCGTCTTTTGTTTTTTCAGAGTTTCAGTGAAATAGCGACAACGTTCACTCTGGCAGGAAAAAAGAAAGGTCCTTCATAGGCCTTTTACATAAACCACAACAACGTTCTAGTTCTCTTCAAGTACAAATACATTTGAATCATGTTGAAAAGCTGATGAAAAAACACAACGTTCAGTTTTTCTGTGTGTACTGACGCCACTAAATAGAGAAGGAGAAATCACTTTGACTTCACTTGCTGGGTTTGGATGGTTTTTTAATACCTTTTAACCACAACTACCCTGCTAGCTTAGGTTTCATTCCGGCATGGTTTTTATCATTTACGAAGTCGCTCGCGTCGCTGAAGTTCGCGTAGCTGGCTTTAGTTAACAAGCTAACCAAGCGGATGACTACGTCAAAACTAAAAACCGTGCCGAAAAGAATCCACTGTGAGCAGAGTAAACCGCATATTTTTTCTAAGTTCGTACTTGAAAACTCTGTTTATGAATGGGAATCTCTATCTGTAAAATAGACACTTCAACCATTTTTTAACTCGACACCGCTGTATAAATTAGCGCCGTAAAATCACTAAAGTTGTCTAGCCTGAATTTCAGCCGTCTCCTCGAATCGCAAAGACCTGAGAGAGTTTCGAGAAGATGGCTCAAGTTTAAGAATGATTTGCTGAAAATTAACGGAGATACAACTCTGCAAAGTCACGCCGTAATTCAAGTTTACGAGTGCCACCATAGAAACGTCTGAAAAAATTTGGGGCTTTGCGAAGCCATATCCTTGCTCTTTTTTGACAAACCACGAAAAAGTTCTGCCTTTTAAGGTGTCTTTCCAGCAGTGTAGATAAATGTTTGCTAAAGGGCCCTGTTCAAACGTTGAAACTCTTGGAAGGGTCAACTGCCTAATTGTTTACTTAAAAAACAACTTTAGTCAGTAGTGGTTTTCTTCAAAAGATTAAGCAGTAACCTGAACAAAAACAATCGCCAATCTGACTACAGCTTGTATCACCATAGATCTAAAGTATTGCTGGCTTGCACGCGACGTCACGGCGGCCATGTTGGTGGTTAAGAACAAAAGCTTTCCTCTCCTCTAGGAACTAAACTCTATTTTCATGTAAATTATTCGAGAAAAAATTATATTATTTTAACCCCCAACATTGCTGCCTTGTCATTTGGTTGCAAACTAAGACGGGTTGAAGACAGTAAAATTTGTCGCTAAAAATCATATCTGCTTTTGAAGGCGATTCCTCATTGTTGCTGTTCTTCTTCGTCTGAATCTTCGGAATCCTGAGATGGCGGGGTGCAATTATTTGTTCTCAAGGCTTTAAGCGAAGGACAACCTAAACATAATAAAAACGGTCGAAAAAAATTTAAAGGGAGTATAAAAAATACTTGAAATGGAGCGATTCTCGTCTCAGTTTCGTAAAGGTATGTGGAAATATTTTCGAAAATCTCCAGGTACCCTGTTCCACGAGATTGTCCCCAAATTGGGTTGTTCTGTCGCTTTTCCCGCCCTTAGCGCGGGGCGCGAGGTTAGACATGCATAGTTCGAGTAATGATTGGTTCGTTTGATTATTTCGCTCTTGTAGGGTTAGAAACATTATATTGGTATATATTTGGGCATAACATCAAGCTCCAACTTAATGGTATTCTAATTTCTACAACGTAACCTGAGTATCATAAAAAAAAAAAAAACAAGAAAAGAAAGCCTGATACTCAGGTTAATTCTAATGCGGCTTTAAGCCTCCTAGCTGCTGCCAGCAAAAATGGCCTAGAACGCGGTTTAACTCTATTTTAATGAGCAACTCTTAGTTTGGTCTCTACAGTAAAATAACTCAAGAAAGGCAACAATGGGTATTTTCCTTTGTTCAAAAACAACCGAACAAACAAGGCCATGACAAAGTGACAAAGCTTAAAACAACCTGCCACATCAAAATCCAACCAACCACTTTCTATACAATAGTCCGCATAGCTGGCAGTATTGTTCGGAGCGCAAGCAAGCAAGCGCTAAGGTTAGTGCGCGCGAACGAGCGGTGAAGCCGCGAGTAAGCCGCGAGTTAGCCGAGACAAAATAATATCTTGTTCGCGCCCCAATCTCCTCGCGGCTTCACCGCTCTCACCCGCCGCTCGCTCAGTTTGTTTGCGTGCCGTCGCCTTCATGACCCAAAGGTCCGAAGAGAATCAATACCTGTAAGAAGCGTAAGACAGCCGCTTGGTGTGACTCTTGTCCAATCAAGATTCAACTGACTCAGCACTGGCAATACCAGCTGATCTAATCTCTTGTCTGATATCCTAGTCCTGCTTAAGTTCAGCTGCGTTAGGGTTTTGCACTGATTTAAAGTGCCACTCAGTAGAAGCTTGTTACTTATTCTTGTGGATGATAAACCAAGAATACGCAGGTATCTAAAACCTGTGTGGGCCAGAAAACAAATATAAAGTAAATTAAAGAGTTGAAAGTCTCCATGTGTAAAGATTTGTCTTGAAATCAAAATGATCCAAACGGCTTCACTTTACAAAATGATCATTGCGTTTGACGTACAACACACTCCTTATACGGATTGGAGCGTAATTGTATTCTTGCCTAGTCTCTGTACGGCGTTTTCCCAGTCATTCTCGGTCAAATCACTTCGATGACGTACCAGAGGGAAAAGGGGGGAAACGAATTGGCCGCGACGAATAATGAGGCCACTGAACGGATATTGGGACACGCGTCTGGCGTACCTGGCTGCAGATTGACAGGAGCAAACTGGAGTTAAGTGGGGGAGAATTGTTTGGGAGCAAATAGTCTTTGCAAAAGAGAATTGTTTGCGGGGGGCGGGGGGCAAATTTGCTCAGAGGACAGTTTTGCAGCGGCGAGTCTGGAGTTAAGTTGGAGAAAATTTTTTAGGAGCAAACACTCCATGTGATAGGGAACTGTTTTAGCGGCGAATTTCCTTAGGGGACAAGTGCGTTCGACTCACAATGCACTCCTATTACAGAATGGAGCATGATTGAACTGGGTAACCTTCGTTGATTGACTGAACGGACATTCCGTCACAATTTTGGCATCCCTACAGATTTCGAGAAGCTACCTGGAGTTAAGCTGTGTCTAAAAGCAAATAGTGTATGCGAAAAAGAATTGTTTTAGGGGCGAATAAGTGCGTTCGACGTACAACGCACACTCCTAATACAAAATGGAGCGAAATTGTATTGCACAATCTTAGCTGGAAGAGATCTTTGGACATCAATCTGACATGTCCGCAGATTTGTAGGGACGAGTATGGAGTTGAGTTAGGACGAACTGCCTGAGAGCAAATAGTCTGCGAGAGAGAACTGCTTCAGTAGGGTGAATTTGCTAAGGAGACAATTTCACCAGACAACAGGTAATACTTACATGAGAGCACAGTACACCCATCGTCCGTTATCAGCGTTCTGTCCAAATTCAGCTCCTCAAGCTCAGTCAGTGCTGTTGACGAAAACCAGAAAAATGAAATTACTGTGACCATTTTGATCCCAAAACAACTCTGGAGATGACTAACTTTAGATAATCTGGAAAAAGTCCTATTATCAACTGCATCGCAGTGTAATGAAGATGGGTGACTGGAATGTCTAGAGAGCTCTACTGCGTCCAGCCCGCCCCTGGACAGAAAACCGCTACCATGACTGGCAATCACCGCAACCCAGCCATGTATCCGGTCACCTCGCCACCAACGAAATCGCCAACAAGAATAGAACTTAAAAATTACCAAATATACACAACAAATGAAAAGAACTTTCATGAGCAGAAATTTTCTCTTGAACTTTACTTTTTTGTCACATTCAAAAGAAATGACTAGTGGTTTTTTTTACCTCTCAAATGTCAAAGGTTACTATACATTCACAGAAGCATTTGGAGAATTAAGAGCATAAAATGTTCGACGCAAAGGATCGACAGACTTGTATTTGGGTCGGTGACTTCAAATTCGATCGAGAACGTAAAAACCCTAGGTACGTAATCCTACCTATTAAACTGTGTCAACAATTTAAGAGTTATTCGTTGGTTCTTTCGGGCGATTTCATTGGTGGCGAGATGACCGCAAACCCCCAGCCATGAGACCCCACACTACACCGGGTCCCCCAGGCACACGTCACACTGCGTTTACAGGGGGAAATAAAGGAAATGGGAAGGGAATCAGGGCAATTGGCAAAAGTGTAAACGACAAACGCACTCCACAGAAAAAAGCCGCCACCAGCTTTAATACACTGAAATGTGCTTTGGGGCTACGACCGAGAGTGCTCGGAGCATGCGCCGAACTCATCTGCCGCTGACCGCCACGAGCATATTGGCTGCTCTTTGTTGTTGACTCTGTTAAATTGTATTTAACCTCATTTGTGT